TCCTCTAATTCTTTCATATTTGGACATACTCTCTCGCTCTCTCTCTCTCTCTCTCTCTCTCTCTCTCTCTCTCTCTCTCTCTCTCTCTCTTACCTGAGCCTACCAAATAATAATATGACCAAAACGTGGGGTAACTAATTATACATAGTCATAACATTCGGTTCTATATCTCTTTCGGTACTGATATATCGTATCCATCAAAATGATATTAGAATCCGGAATTTAGTGTATAGTCTATATCGTGGCTTCGTCATTCATTGCAGGCCAGCTTACCCACCAACCAAAGGTCCAAAGCAACTAGCTATTTTGTATTTGAAATTGTGTGACTGGTGACCCGGATTATCATAGGTTACCTAACTTTTTTGAGAAAGATTCCATCATATCTAATAAAGAATTAGTTAAAGATTTATGTTGTGACTTCTTAACACAGTATTATTATTGTTGAGAGTCAATCTTTTCAAAATGCGATAAAATTATTTATCATTTTTCTCTTTTATAATCCGTTAGATACATAAATATTTTTGTTTCTCTCTCTTTTTTTTTTTGTTGGGTACATATCATATATAAAATCGCAACAATATTCCACAAGTTTTATTCTTGATTATGTTTGTCTATTGACTCTATTCCCTTTTCATTACAAGAATTAGGGTTTTTCTAAGACAATTTCTTTTTTTTTTTTTGTGACAGCAATGTTCATCGACACAAAAAAAAGTGTAGTTGAGAGAAAAAAAAAAGTTTTTTGTGATTGTAGCGCTATCATAAAAAATTTATTTGTTGTTGCAAATATTATGTAAGACGGATTGTTGTCGTCATAAAGACTTTTTGAGACCCCACTTATTACGGCAAGTTATTGTAACGGGATGTCTCACCATAATAAGTAAAGTTTCAAAAAAATTTTGTGGCGACAACTGACATCCAAAATAATATTTGCAATATCAAATAAATTTTTTTATGACAACATTATCACCATTAAAAAAAATATTCTCTAAAACGCATTTTTTTTTTTAACGGTAAACACCGACGCCATAAAATACTTGTCTCAAAACACTAGTTTTTTTTTTTTTTTTTTCTTGTCTCGGTCCTAGCCTCTACATTAATAATGAGACATATTTTTGTCCCTTTCCCAACATAAAGTGGTAGGGGTCCTTTATTTTCAAATCTACATTTCTATTATTATAATTGTAAGGGATATCACTGTTCACATAAGGATTCTGGGCTGGAGGTCTGTCTCAGTAGCTTTTATCTCTCGTCCCGTTGGGAGCTAGTCTCACATCAGTAGACAGTCGTCTTTTCTCCTGTCATATAAGTGATCACTTACTATAGAGGAGGTAGCCACTAGCACCAGATCTTTTTGTAAGGGGTATCACCCTCCACATAAGGATTCTGGCTGACTTAGGGGTCTGTCCCAGTAGTCTTTACCTCTCGTCTCGTTGGGAGCTAGTCTCACATCAGCAGAGAGTCATCTCTCCCCTGCCATATAAGTGATTACTTACTATGGAGGAGGTACCCACTAGCCACCTGATCAGGGGGGAGAAGACTTTCTATCGATGTAGGACTAGCTCCTAACGGGACGAGAGGTAAAGGCTACTGGGATAGACCCCCAGGTCAGCTAGAATCCTTCTGTGGAGGGTGATACCCCTTACAATAATTTACCAAAAAAAATAAAATCTACAACTCTAATAGTTAAATGTGTTAATGGCACTGTTTGTTTGTGTTTATATTAAATAAGTGTGTTTAAAGGCTATTTTACGTGTTCCCACGAAGTATTCAATATCTTTCGATATTTTTTTTCTATTTTTATTTGCACAATTAACATGGATTTCAACTTTTTTACTTTGGGAGATGTTGGTAATTCAATTCATTGTAAAACTGAAAAATTGATTCCAATAAATACTGATACCCACAATAAAATCATGTTTTAAGGCCACCGTCCTGCTTTTAGATATTAAGTTGGTGGGTTTGAAAGTCATCGTCCCTTTCCCATGTTTTAGTACCTGGCCAATAATAATAAAAATGCTTTATAGCATTTAATGAGCTTCATCCGCTGGAAACATACTGAATACAATTAGATACAGGATTAGTTGAAGTGCATTTATCACATTAATTGAATGTTCCATTAGTGGGCTTTGCCCCTTCTTTCCGAGAGCCCCTCGCGCATCAAGGGGGATATATTCCAAAAGAAAATCGTTTAACGTATTGACTGATTGCACCCGCCTATGATAGCATAAAGCGCCTACCGAATGCTTGCTCTAACAATTGGCTAGTCTATTTGGGGATAGACTAAAGATGTCCCAATTAAGCCCTTTTCTCACAGTGCAATCAGCATTCCAAGTGTTACACGCGCGCGCACACACATTAAAAAGACTCGCATCTTTATTACTACAGATGTGAGCTGCAGTGATAAATAACTGACATGGCACAAAAATTTAAGCCATAATACAACCGTGAAATTTTATATTCGAAATCACATCATCAATGTCACGTGACGTTACTATACAATAAAAATGCAAAAAAAATAAATAAAATAGACACTATTTTTTTTACATGGAGTGGCTACCGAAAGACATTCGATGGTAGTTATTAAATCATCTCCAAAGAAAACTCAAATCTTTACTTAAATTTGAGTTAAAAAAATAAATAAATCTCCAATGGAGAAACTCAAATTTAAAGGAAAATAAAATTAAATTTAAATGAGGGCAAATATAAATTTAAATGAGGGTAAAATATGATCATTGAATCTTTAAAAAAGAGTAAAATCTCACCATTAAAAATTAAGATATGGGTTTGAGTCTCCTTTTATTTGAATAAAAAAAATGAATCTCATTTTACTTAATATGGTTATGGCTATAACAAGGAAGAAGGTTTTAAAAGTTTTTTTTTTTATTCAAATTTGAATTTGAATTTGAATTTAAAAAGGGATAATTATCGGAGATACTCTTGAAATATGTGGGAATCACTTGTTTACTTGGAATGTTCTTATTGGATGCTTAGCTCATTGGCATTGGTAACAATTAATCGTGCAATGTTCTGATTAGAGCAATGTTATGCTGATCAAATTACTTATTAAATTTTGTATTCTAAATTATTGTGGATGATTAGATCAAGGGATCCACTAATTTCACTAAATATTCAATGTATGAGATTTTAACATATCATTTGAAATACAAAATTTGATAAACAAAATTTGATAAACAAATTTGAACAACACAGTTTTATCCTTGTGATTAATCTTTTTATTCAAACATTATTTTGACACCGCACAAACTCGCTAAACAAGAACTACATCTGTACACAGAACCATAAAAAAAAAAGATCAGAAAAAAAGAGAAAACAAGAATTTCAGTTTCAAATGCACAAATTTGAANACTCAAATTTAAAAGAAAATAAAATCAAATTTAAATGAGGGCAAATATAAATTTAAATGAGGGTAAAATATGATCTTTGAATCTTTAAAAAAGAGTAAAATCTCACCATTAAAAATTAAGATATGGGTTTGAGTCTCCTTTTATTTGAATAAAAAAAAAGAATCTCATTTTACTTAATATGGTTATGGCTATAACAAGGAAGAAGGTTTTAAAAGTTTTTTTTTTTTATTCAAATTTGAATTTGAATTTAAATTTAAAAAGGGATAATTATCGGAGATACTCTTGAAATATGTGGGAATCACTTGTTTACTTGGAATGTTCTTATTGGATGCTTAGCTCATTGGCATTGGTAACAATTAATCGTGCAATGTTCTGATTAGAGCAATGTTATGCTGATCAAATTACTTATTAAATTTTGTATTCTAAATTATTGTGGATGATTAGATCAAGGGATCCACTAATTTCACTAAATATTCAATGTATGAGATTTTAACATATCATTTGAAATACAAAATTTGATAAACAAATTTGAACAACACAGTTTTATCCTTGTGATTAATCTTTTTATTCAAACATTATTTTGACACGGCACAAACTCGCTAAACAAGAACTACATCTGTACACAGAACCATAAAAAAAAAGATCAGAAAAAAAGAGAAAACAAGAATTTCAGTTTCAAATGCACAAATTTGAAGGAAGTGGATCCAATTTTCTTATAGGTTGGTGAAAATTCTGATAATCCTGCATGGGAAGCCATTGGATATAGAGTAGACACAAGTGAAGATCTGCCCAAGGACCGAAAGCAGAGACCTCTTCAGAAAGGAATGGTAGAAACCATGCATGAAACTGAGTCCAACATTTTAAATTCCCTCCTCCAGAAAGGCCTAAAGGTCACCGAAGACCCCAAACAAAACTTTTACAAGATCGAATGTGATGCTGTAATAGTTGGCTCAGGCTGCGGCGGAGGTGTGGCGGCCGCTGTTCTGGCAAGTTCTGGCCAGAAAGTGGTCGTTCTCGAGAAAGGAAACTACTTTACCAAGACAGATTATTCTTCACTAGAAGGACCCTCCATGGATCAACTGTATGAAACAGGAGGGATTCTTGCCACTTTCGATGGGAAAATGATGATCATGGCAGGATCAACGGTGGGTGGTGGCTCTGCTGTTAACTGGTCAGCATGCATTAAAACGCCACTGTCTGTGCTCCGGGAATGGGCCGAGGAATACAAGATCCCACTCTTCGCAGGCCCTGAGTATCCTTCTGCAATGGAAACAGTATGCAAAAGGATAGGAATTACAGAGAATTGTGAAAAGGAGAGCTTCCAGAATCAAGTTCTTCGTAAAGGGTGTGAAAAACTAGGTCTTCGGGCTGATTCGGTGCCGAGAAACTCATCACAGAATCATTATTGTGGTTCTTGCTCTTATGGCTGTAGAACAGGAGAAAAAAAAGGGACTGACTCAACTTGGCTGGTTGATGCTGTGGCTTCTGGTGCAGTGATCATAACAGGAAGCAAAGCTCAGAGATTTATATTGGAAAAGAACAGGCCTCAAGGTACAAGAGGAAAGAAATGCTCGGGCGTAATTGCAAAATTTCTAGACAAAAACATCACAAAGAGACTGCATATAGAAGCCAAAGTTACAATCTCAGCATGTGGATCTCTCCTTACACCGCCTCTAATGATCTCGAGTGGGTTGAAAAATCCTAACATTGGCCGGAATCTTCATCTTCACCCGGTTTTGATGGCTTGGGGATACTTTCCAGAGTCCAATTCAGAACTCAAGGGGAACACCTATGAAGGAGGGATTATCACATCGGTTCATAAAGTGGGGTCGGACAAGTCCAATCCAACGGCCATTATAGAAGTTCCGGCATTGGGGCCTGGATCATTTTCTGCACTATGTCCTTGGGTGTCTGGACTGGACTTCAAGAAGAGGATATTGAAGTATGCTAGAACTGCTCATTTGTTTTCAATGATAAGGGACAGAGGGCTGGGGGAAGTGAGGAAAGAGGGAAGAATTAGCTATAAATTCACTGCACTAGACAGAGAAAATATGAAGACAGGGTTACGACAAGCATTGAGGATCTTGATCGCAGCAGGAGCTGTTGAGGTGGGAACTCATCAGAGTGATGGCCAGAGAATCATCTGTAAAGGGACTAGTGAGGAGGAAATGGAGGAGTTTCTGGATACAGTCACTGCACCCGAAGGGGCAATGTCATTGGTAGAGAAATGGACAACATATAGCTCTGCCCATCAAATGGGGAGTTGTAGGATGGGAATCACTGAAAAGGATGGTGCAGTAGATGAGAATGGGCAGAGTTGGGAAGCAGAAGGGTTATTTGTATGTGATGCTAGTGTTCTGCCAAGTGCGGTTGGCGTCAATCCTATGATCACCATCCAGTCTACTGCTTATTGCCTCTCAAAGAAGATAGTCCAGTCGTTGTAAAAAGGAGCTCTCAAACTTTAATTTACTTTTCAGACATGGACTGAACTAAACTTGGAAAGTGATGGACAGAGCAGGAGCAGAATTAGGAATCTAAGGAGATCTGTAAGGAAGTGCTACATTTTAAGCAGCCAAGATTTTCGGCAACTTATAGATTTATAGTGTAAACAGATTTTTTAGCTGTGGATTTGATATGTTTGGCTATAATGTTATAGTTATGAAAGGAATTAGGTTTTCTGATAAAGAGAGTAAACCCAAGTAATGCACAGGACAGTCTCTTTATGTCAAATGTTATGGTTTTGTGATCTGGGGATGGGAAGAGTTCAATATGGCTGACGTACAACCAATACATGCTCATTATTACAAGAAATCGAAAAATCTTGAAATTGAAAGAACAAAATTCTGTAGAGCACCAAAGTGCTACACAAATACATATCTAAAAGACTTTTTTGTCCATAAAATAAGTTTTGTACAACATCTAAATTGCCGATATATAGAATTTTCTTTATCGAGAAGATAGGTTGGTAGTGTATGAAGAGCTAAATATTCAAAGCAATAGTGATTTTACAACATCAGTGATAAGTGTTATCACGATTGACTAACTATGTGTTGTGTATAGAGGGTCAACAACTCGTAAGAATACCTAACATGACCAAATAACAACTTAAAAGGTGTTTGATATATTTAACCTGTATATGGAGCATGTTGTTATTACATTGTGATATATGTCATTGATCAACTAGCACCATCGTTGCATTGAATATTTCCTCCCTATTCCCTAGGCAATGCTGTAGACATATAAAATAGGTGAATAGCATCCTTGTCGATCACAAAACAATTATACACCCAAACACAAACTCTAGCTTCAATATGGTCAAGCTCGTCTTGGTTGTAACTGATCGAACTCAAGCTCTATTGTCAAGCTTAAGTTCTTGCTAGAGCCTGGCTCTATAGAAGTTTGCAACTATTGGAACCAAACTCAAGTGTGCTTTCTCAGCAAATCTTCCANCGAACTCAAGCTCTATTGTCAAGCTTAAGTTCTTGCTAGAGCCTGGCTCTAAAGAAGTTTGCAACTATTGGAACCAAACTCAAGTGTGCTTTCTCAGCAAATCTTCCAAAAATCAAACTCAAAAACTTAATAATCAAACATAAAATAATCAATTTCTCAAAAAAAAAAAAAAATCCTCAAAATGGAACTAGTAAAACCATAAATCAGACCCTAAAAGCTCAAAATTTCTAAAAACCTGTCAGAAAAGAGATGTAGATAAAAGTGTATATGATCTGAAGGTAGTAGGGATAAGTATCAAGGCTAACTCGTACGTTTCTTGCTTAAATTCAACTTGTTTTCTAGAAACCTGATCAGTTTGTTCAATCTGTTAATAGATAAAAACTGACAAAAAAATGTATTGATATTTCAGAAATTAGAAAGAATGTTAATGAAATATGACTTAAATTCAAGAAATGTCAGTGAAATNTTCTTGCTTAAATTCAACTTGTTTTCTAGAAACTTGATCAGTTTGTTCAATCTCTTAATAGATAAAAACTGACAAAAAAATGTAGTGATATTTTAGAAATTAGAAAGAATGTTAATGAAATATGACTTAAATTCAAGAAATGTCAGTGAAATTTATCCAAATAAATACCAAGGCAGGCTGTGCAACAAAAACAAATAAGGTCGTCAAATTAAGTACAAATAGCATTACTTGTAAAAAACCCCATCTATTCTATCATCTCTCTCTTTCCATCCCCACCTCCTCATCTATCATCTTTTTCAAACACACGAGAAGAAAATATTAAATATAACAGTGACAACATATAACTATTATGACGTTACATGAATACTTTTTACAATGANAAACCCCATCTATTCTATCATCTCTCTCTTTCCATCCCCACCTCCTCATCTATCATCTTTTTCAAACACAAGAGAAGAAAATATTAAATATAACAGTGACAACATATAACTATTATGACGTTACATGAATACTTTTTACAATGAGAAACTTACAAAAAACTTTGATTCTTTTTGTATATCCAAATGAGATCATGACATGATCATCATTGTGGATACCCGATAAATAATCTTAAATGTAGTTCAATAGGTAACAAGAATGAGTTATAAAGTCAGACGTACTTAATTTGGGTGATTAATGATTTATCTCTTATGAATACCTTAATTTTAGCGTGGATGACCTGACCGGATGCAGAAGTAGAGTTGATGTGCACGTAAACTCATCCGANGAATATTAACAATTTTTTAGAGCTAGACCATAAATGATTTATCTCTTATGAATACCTTAATTTTAGCGTGGATGACCTGACCGGATGGAGAAGTAGAGTTGATGTGCACGTAAACTCATCCAAATCTAGAGACAAAAAAAAAAAAAAAANGGGTGATTAATGATTTATCTCTTATGAATACCTTAATTTTAGCGTGGATGACCTGACCGGATGCAGAAGTAGAGTTGATGTGCACGTAAACTCATCCGAATCTAGAGACAAAAAAAAAAAAAAAGAAGATAAATGAACGCACTGCAGGCCCCAATATACAATATTGGTCACTGAATAACCATAAATCCTCTAATTTACGGATATACCATTGCATGTAGAAGTGTCCAGGCACCAACTGTTTACCACTCGTAAAAATTTACAAAAAAACATTTCAGTGGTCAACACGGCTAAAACAGTTGAACAACTCATTTGCGAGACTTTCTAAGAACTGAGCATTTCAGAACTTCTGAGAAAGACAACTATGGTGCCAACTGTCAGTTATTCCAATTGTACGATGCAATCGAGGACTATACCTTTAACATGATACATTAACAACATAAATATTCGACACGCCACGAAGTTTGGAAAAAAAAAAACAGGATTAATTAATAATAATTGATGGAGAAATTAACAAGTTTGGACATTAGTGGAGCGGTAAAGTTGTTTCTATTAGGATTTGTGCGTTCCAATTAAAAAAAAGGTCTCTTAATTAATAAGGTAAAATTGTGTAAATCTAACATCATTTTAGAGTTCAAACACCGTAGTTTATAATAGTGAAAATATAGTGGATTAGGCTTGATGCATGATATAAACAACTCTAAGCATCAAGGCATATACTTGCTTGGCCTGCAATTTCTATATGCTAGCCTTATTACAAGAGTACACCAAAGTGCTTCAATGTTTTTTTCCTTTTGTTTTATTTGATTGTATCGAAAGAATGTAATGACAAGATTTTAGCTGTCAAAGAAGAGAAGCAAAGGAAAATTCAGCCTTGGTAGTTACGGTACTCATTCATGAACAAATGCCAAGTAGGTTTTATATATGCAAGAATTCCAAAAATATAATACAAGAAGATGGGACAACTTTATTATTATCTAAACTTTGTGGTGGTAGAGAAATTAACACCCCCCTACACGCTTGTCAATCTTGTCGTGTGAAGTGGGTTTGTGTCAAGTTTAAACGAGTTTACAAAACGAGTGACAAGATGTAAACACTCTCTCTCTCTATATATATATCTATATAATAAAATAATTTATAATCCAAATTTCAAAAGATAAACAAAATGACTTTTGTTTTTCTTATTTCAGATCACTTTATATTTTATTTTAAAGTTAATCTAACTGTTAATATTAGCATCCTAAATTTAATAGGAAAAATAGGGTTCTAAAAATGTGTTTGGAGTGACTTTTTAAAAGTATTTCTAAGAATTATTTGTCATAAATATTTTAAAAAACATAGTATTTAAAATCGTCCCACCACTACCTCTACCACCACCGCCGCTGCCACCACTACCACGGCCACCATCGCCACGGCCACCACCGCCACCAAGATCATTGCCACCCACCACAACTATCACCGTCTCCTACCACCACAACTGTCGTTCATCACCTCTCACCCTCACTACAACTAATGTTTAAATTCATTTATCTCTCATCTATGTTTGTGATTTAGATTTGAATACAAATATGTTTATTGTTTACTATTTTTTTATTACTCTGTGCCTTCAGACACAAACAATAACTAGTATATTTATATATGACCCAACTCGGAATATAAATAAATGAGCTTTTGACCCATCTCATAAGGTTTTTAAAAAAAAGTCTCAAATAATGGTTGATTTCAAAATAATTTCCAAACTCATGTCCTTTTTAAAAACGTTAAATGGACTGACGTTTTTAGATTAAAGACATCAGATGGATTGACGTCTTCAACCTAAAAACGTCAGTCCATTTAACATTTTTAACCCTTTTTTTCTCAACACACTGACTTTAATAAACGTAAGTTGGACTGATGTTTCTTTAAACACGTTAGTCAAATTGACGTGTTTAACACTGTCTTGCTCCTCTTGTTTTTCCGCTGGTTGCCTGGCCCATTCTTTGCCAAAAGTCGAGCAACTTGGACATCACTCCACCGACTTTATTGCATGAAATTGGGTCACTGACAAATGAAATTGGGCTACTTCTTTTTAAAAGTTGTTTGACTTTTGGCGAAGAATGAGCAAGGCAACCAGCAGAAAAACAAGAGGAGTGAGACAATGTTAAATGCGTTAGTTGGACTGACGTGTTTAAAGCAACGTCAGGCCAACTGAAGTTTATTAGGGTTATTGTGTTGAGAAAAAAAGGGTTAAAAACGTCAAATAGACTAACGTTTTTAGGTTAAAAACGTCAATCCATTTAACGTCTTTAACCTAAAAACATCAATTCATTTGANAACGTTTTTAGGTTAAAGACGTCAATCCATTTAACGTCTTTAACCTAAAAACATCAATTCATTTGACGTTTTTAAAAAAGACGTAAATTTGAAAATTACTTTGAAACCAATCATTATTTGAGATTTTTTTTTTAAAACCCCGTGTGGGATGGGTCAAAAGCTCATAAATAGACAGGAGGGTCATCGACTCCAAAATTCCTTGGCCATCACTGATATCACTTCGTTTGGATTGAAATGAATATTGCTCAGAGCTATGAAAAACCCCGGTGGTCTGCTGACATTTGTTCCTGTGGTGATACTGGAACATGTAAGCTCTCTCTCTCTCCCTCTCTCTCTCAATTTTGCATGAGTTGCTGGAATTTTTTAGGCTTATCATCGGAATACCAACAACCTAGCATGCCATGGTTGATTGTATTAGAGATATGAAATTGACAAGCATACAGGTCCAACAATACCCACCCAAAAAAAACATACAGAGATCATAAATAAGCATAAATGGTATTTTATTTTTATTTTTGAATTGTTAATGACCCTATAACTAATTTTATTTCGATAGAACATAGAAAGAAAAAAATAGCACCATCTATACAACCACCATGAAAACAATATCCCATGTTATACAGTAGAGGAGCCGTACCCCTGGGGGAGCGATTGCCCTGGCCAACCCTAGATCGTCATGGCTCAAAGAAAACTTTTCTTATAGGTTGATGCAGTATGATAGAACTAGTCCTCATTACTTTTCATATTTGCTGTATGCAAAGTTTCATCCAAGCGTTTGCTTATATTAATTCCTTGACAAAGTTGATTATTTTCTTCTTTAATACATACTCACCAACCCAATTCTATGTGAAAAATGCCTATGCCTTGCAGGTTGCATAACATGTTTGCTTCCATGCATTACCTTTGGTCAAATTGCAGAGGTCGTGGACGAGGGGGGAAGCTGTAAGTATCATCACAATATCCTCACAATATTTGGTTTCTTTAGGCAGAGGTTTTGCAGTATTGAATGTAAAGATTGAAACTTTTTTTATAATTGATTGGTGATGTACAACTTGGTGAACAATGATTAACATCAGTTAGAATCNTTTGGTTTCTTTAGGCATAGGTTTTGCAGTATTGAATGTAAAGATTGAAACTTTTTTTATAATTGATTGGTGATNTCCTCACAATATTTGGTTTCTTTAGGCAGAGGTTTTGCAGTATTGAATGTAAAGATTGAAACTTTTTTTATAATTGATTGGTGATGTACAACTTGGTGAACAATGATTAACATCAGTTAGAATCAAGCCTAATTGAAACATAAATTATATACAACTCTTTAAAACGGAGTAATACAGTCTATTAGTATTATTCATTTTCAACAAACCCCACGATATAACAATACCATGGCCAAGTATCACAATTTTTGGGCTTTTTTTGTAACAATGTTGTTGAAGCTGACCCGATCTAACAAGTTAACCCGATAAACTAGTGCCTAGATTGGATTGGGTTAACTAGAAGACATGGCTGGTCGAACCAGTGACCTATTGACCTACTTAGTATTGGCCTTGGTTGAAAGATTAAAATTGACCTTGGTAAATTGTACCTTTGGCAATTTTATAGCTTAATTATTATTACCTGTGATTATTTATCACTTTCTATTGTACGGCCCATCGAACCATTTGATGCAATGGTTGAATTAGTCGTCAATTTACCTGATTCCTTTATCGGGTTAATGTCCAATCTGGTTTGTGAAGCATTTTCAAGTCTGAATATGTCATACCTTTTAAAGGAAACANTTGTACGGCCCATCGAACCATTTGATGCAATGGTTGAATTAGTCGTCAATTTACCTGATTCCTTTATCGGGTTAATGTCCGATCTGGTTTGTGAAGCATTTTCAAGTCTGAATATGTCATACCTTTTAAAGGAAACAATAAAGATTTCATAGGCAATTGAATTGTAATAACATGTATANCAAGGCAACCAGCAGAAAAACAAGAGGAGTAAGACAATGTTAAATGCGTTAGTTGGACTGACGTGTTTAAAGCAACGTCAGGCCAACTGATGTTTATTAGGGTTATTGTGTTGAGAAAAAAAGGGTTAAAAACGTCAAATAGACTAACGTTTTTAGGTTAAAGACGTCAATCCATTTAACGTCTTTAACCTAAAAACATCAATTCATTTGACGTTTTTAAAAAAGACGTAAATTTGAAAATTACTTTGAAACCAATCATTATTTGAGATTTTTTTTTTAAAACCCCGTGTGGGATGGGTCAAAAGCTCATAAATAGACAGGAGGGTCATCGACTCCAAAATTCCTTGGCCATCACTGATATCACTTCGTTTGGATTGAAATGAATATTGCTCAGAGCTATGAAAAACCCCGGTGGTCTGCTGACCTTTGTTCCTGTGGTGATACTGGAACATGTAAGCTCTCTCTCTCTCCCTCTCTCTCTCAATTTTGCATGAGTTGCTGGAATTTCTTAGGCTTATCATCGGAATACCAACAACCTAGCATGCCATGGTTGATTGTATTAGAGATATGAAATTGACAAGCATACAGGTCCAACAATACCCACCCAAAAAAAACATACAGAGATCATAAATAAGCATAAATGGTATTTTATTTTTATTTTTGAATTGTTAATGACCCTATAACTAATTTTATTTCGATAGAACATAGAAAGAAAAAAATAGCACCATCTATACAACCACCATGAAAACAATACCCCATGTTATACAGTAGAGGAGCCGTACCCCTGGGGGAGCGATTGCCCTGGCCAACCCTAGATCGTCATGGCTCAAAGAAAACTTTTCTTATAGGTTGATGCAGTATGATAGAACTAGTCCTCATTACTTTTCATATTTGCTGTATGCAAAGTTTCATCCAAGCGTTTGCTTATATTAATTCCTTGACAAAGTTGATTATTTTCTTCTTTAATACATACTCACCAACCCAATTCTATGTGAAAAATGCCTATGCCTTGCAGGTTGCATAACATGTTTGCTTCCATGCATTACCTTTGGTCAAATTGCAGAGGTCGTGGACGAGGGGGGAAGCTGTAAGTATCATCACAATATCCTCACAATATTTGGTTTCTTTAGGCAGAGGTTTTGCAGTATTGAATGTAAAGATTGAAACTTTTTTTATAATTGATTGGTGATGTACAACTTGGTGAACAATGATTAACATCAGTTAGAATCAAGCCTAATTGAAACATAAATTATATACAACTCTTTAAAACGGAGTAATACAGTCTATTAGTATTATTCATTTTCAACAAACCCCACGATATAACAATACCATGGCCAAGTATCACAATTTTTGGGCTTTTTTTGTGACAATGTTGTTGAAGCTGACCCGATCTAACAAGTTAACCCGATAAACTAGTGCCTAGATTGGATTGGGTTAACTAGAAGACATGGCTGGTCGAACCAGTGACCTATTGACCTACTTAGTATTGGCCTTGGTTGAAAGATTAAAATTGACCTTGGTAAATTGTACCTTTGGCAATTTTATAGCTTAATTATTATTACCTGTGATTATTTATCACTTTCTATTGTACGGCCCATCGAACCATTTGATGCAATGGTTGAATTAGTCGTCAATTTACCTGATTCCTTTATCGGGTTAATGTCCGATCTGGTTTGTGAAGCATTTTCAAGTCTGAATATGTCATACCTTTTAAAGGAAACAATAAAGATTTCATAGGCAATTGAATTGTAATAACATGTATATGAAAGTGATTGATTGCAATTTCTAATGGTTATTATTATGTTCTTTTTTTTTTTCCAGCTTGTGTGTTGCATGGTTGCATATATGGTGCACTGATGGTAATTCAGTGCCATTGCCTATATTCATGCCTTTACAGAGGGAAATTGAGAGCCAAATATAGGTTACCATCTGAGCCTTGTAATGACTATTGCATTCACTGCTGCTGTGAGCCATGTGCTCTTTGTCAAGAGCATGCTGAGCTTAAAAACAGAGGCCTTGACCCCTCCAAAGGTTCTGCACTAAAACCCTCATACAGTTTTCTTTATCTCTGATAATTTATCTATGTCATTGCATGGACAGGGGTGTTAATCGAATTGGATCTTTCGAGTTTTGGTATGTTTAGGCTCGTATCAAGTTTAATTATTGAGTTCATCATGTTTTTATTCAACTTCGGATTAGTTTTTAGATCATATGTCTATGTTTGACTCAATTTCACTTGTTTTTGTTGTACTACAAATTTGATTCGTGCACAAACTCGAACTCAATAGTAAAATACAAAGTAATTAGCCAAAGGGTGATAGTTGTTTTTATTTGTTTCCACCACGGAAAAATGATATATTTTATTATAAATTAAATCGAGTCCAAGTTACAAAGCTAAGCAACACATTGCTTAGCTTGAATGTTTTTTTTTCCAGAAACAGGGAAATTTTATGGCTTGTTCTCAGCGAGTAGATNTATAGCTTAATTATTATTACCTGTGATTATTTATCACTTTCTATAGTACGGCCCATCGAACCATTTGATGCAATGGTTGAATTAGTCGTCAATTTACCTGATTCCTTTATCGGGTTAATGTCCAATCTGGTTTGTGAAGCATTTTCAAGTCTGAATATGTCATACCTTTTAAAGGAAACAATAAAGATTTCATAGGCAATTGAATTGTAATAACATGTATATGAAAGTGATTGATTGCAATTTCTAATGGTTATTATTATGTTCTTTTTTTTTTTCCAGCTTGTGTGTTGCATGGTTGCATATATGGTGCACTGATGGTAATTCAGTGCCATTGCCTATATTCATGCCTTTACAGAGGGAAATTGAGAGCCAAATATAGGTTACCATCTGAGCCTTGTAATGACTATTGCATTCACTGCTGCTGTGAGCCATGTGCTCTTTGTCAAGAGCATGCTGAGCTTAAAAACAGAGGCCTTGACCCCTCCAAAGGTTCTGCACTAAAACCCTCATACAGTTTTCTTTATCTCTGATAATTTATCTATGTCATTGCATGGACAGGGGTGTTAATCGAATTGGATCTTTCGAGTTTTGGTATGTTTAGGCTCGTATCAAGTTTAATTATTGAGTTCATCATGTTTTTATTCAACTTCGGATTAGTTTTTAGATCATATGTCTATGTTTGACTCAATTTCACTTGTTTTTGTTGTACTACAAATTTGATTCGTGCACAAACTCGAACTCAATAGTAAAATACAAAGTAATTAGCCAAAGGGTGATAATTGTTTTTATTTGTTTCCACCACGGAAAAATGATATATTTTATTATAAATTAAATCGAGTCCAAGTTACAAAGCTAAGCAACACATTGCTTAGCTTGAATGTTTTTTTTTCCAGAAACAGGGAAATTTTATGGCTTGTTCTCAGCGAGTAGATACGTGCTTATGTCGCTCAGACTCGTAACTCTGTGTAGAATCACTCACATCAGAAATTTGAATACGATTCGTTCAAACAACTTAGGTCTTGTCCTACCAAACAAGCATGCTTTTGCGCCTAGGAGACTTCGAACCCTTGACTTCCCACTAGGAAGCCAGTTGGTTAGCTTGAATGTTAAATGAGTTTTAAAATATTATTAATATTTTATTTATTTTCTACGAGTTTAATAAAGTTAATCTTGAGTCGAGCCTAATTAGTACTCCCAAACAAAGTACAACATTCTTAGCCTAACTAGTAGTCCCAAACAATAGTACAACATTTTTACTTCAACTAACAAAGTGCTCTCATATACTAGGGTGGATTGGCCCACCAAATGCTCCTCCGCCGATGCCCCCTTCCATGATCAAATGAGTTAGACGACTGCAGAGATGTTGCCGTAGGCTCCAGCACCAGCGGAAGTTTCCTCCTATATGAATTTATATTGTAATTTGTCTGATGGATGAACTCCATATCTCATTTCTAGAGGTTATTGGAGCATCTCTTTTATAATTAAATGGTGTGAAATTACTTATAAGATTAAATAAATTATTCTAAGCTTAATAAAACATGGTAAACAGTTTTAAGTCGGAAATTTCGTTTCTAAATGATTAAAATAGTTTTGTTCTCAATGAGATCATAATGAATCAGTGATTGAATTAAAATTTCAATATTTTGAGGTGTTTCAGAATATTTCGACGTGTTGACCAAAAAAAAAAGAATATTTCTACATGCACTGAAATGAAATTTTGGTCCTTAGTCATTTATTTAAAGAAATTTTTTCTTATAATTCTGAATTTTTTTCTTTTTTTGATTTTGTTTTTGTTTCATGTTTTTATATGAATACCACACCCATCTAGTATAACCACTCTATTTTAATTTTTTTTTTCAACAATTCGACTAAGGATGAGACTATTCTCATCCCACAAATTTTCATTCTCAACCTATTTAATTTGTTATTATCAAACTATTAAGTACACCCCCCTTTATACACACTTCATGAGGGAGTTATGTTCACCTCTTTAATGAAATAAGTCATCGTAAGAAAAAGATAATGAAAAAAAATAATTAGTTTAAATGCATAAATATATTTAAGAAACAAGTAAAACTTAAACAATAAAAAAAAACACCCAAGAACGAAATAAGTAAAAAAAAAAACGAAACAAGAAAAAAAAAAGTAGAACAAAAGAATAAAAACGAAAAAAACGAAACAAAAAAAAATCAGAAAGAAAGAAGCAAACTTAAATAAGAAGGAAAAAAAAATCAAGCACAAATTAAAAGAACAAGTAAATCTATAAGATGCAAAACCACAAGATGTAAAACCAAATATGAAAAAAAAAAAATAGTATCAAGTACAGACACAAAATCGAACAAGAAAAAAAAACAACATAGATACAAAATCTAAACAAAATAAAAAAGAAAAAATAATCTAAAAACATACACACACACACACATATATATACACACACACACACACTCTCTTATAAATTCTAAATAAAAAATTATTAAACTTGAAAATAATAAAATTCTGTATAACAAGCATGAAATCAAACATAAAATTAAAATTAAATTGAGAAGTAACTACCATGTATTTCACCTAAAAAATTATATTGAAAAAAGTATTTTTGTGAGTGTATAAGATGAGATGAAGAACAAAACCCTAATTATGACAAAATATAAAAAAAATTTACTTACTAAAAGGGGTGTATATAACATGAAATAGACTTAATTATAAATGAAGTAGGTATAAAAAGAGTAATTTTAGTAGTTTGATAATAAAAATTAAATGAGATAAAAATAAAGATTTGTGGGGTGAGAATAAATAGTTTCATTTTTCGACTAATTCTCTTTTTAATCCGGTGAAAAACAAACTTTCTAGGTAAGAGATTAGAGCCGCGCCTAGGCCTAGGCTACTTAAGTGAATGCGTGGGCCCCAATCTTGTTAAAAAATTAGGGCTCCTAAATTATTGGCTGAATGTATAAAGCCCAAAGTCAGTTCTGAAGCTCGTTTGAAGATAGAATAGGCCACTCGCATTGGTAGGCCTCGTATATTATCTTTCTTTGCTTTAGTAGTTGACCCGTTATATACAAATAAAAGACTTATCCCAATAAATATCTTACGCCTGCAACACCGATTTTCAGTTTGATAGGAAGAATGAAAATTAAAAAGATAATAAATAAAAAGTTAAAAAGAATATATTTTTTCTCATTATGTTTGGTATGATGGATGAAAAATTGAAGGGATGCATTCTTTTTTTTTGGTATTAAATGGAAAATTAGATGGAAAGGAAAAATATATATTCTAAATTTACCATTATACCCTCACATCTAATTACATGAATAAGATTAAAGAAAATAAATCAAAATGCATGATTTTTTTTATAAGTATATAATATTTAAACCCGCTAAAGTTTATATGTATATAATATTTAGACATGTTTTAAGTTTAAAATATTATACTTAGATCAAAAATACTCCAATCAAATATGAAATATTAAATATTTCAAATTTTACAACTAAAATTCATGTTCTATTGTATCATATATTGAAATAAAATCAAAAATAAAATTTACTTATAAAGATATTCTTCATTTAATTATTTAATGTGTATCTAACTAGAAATTATATGTATTTTTTTTCATTATGTGCATTTAATTATTAAATCTTCCATTACATATACAAAAACAAACTTAATAAGTTAAATTCTAATTATATTATGTGGTAAATACTAAAAATTATATAATTAAAGAGAGTGGTGGGTAAAATAGTCAATTCACAAAAAACTCATCTTTCCTTTATTTTTCGCCCATTTTTTTTGGGAGGGGGGAGGGGAAATGTTTGGTGGGCTCAAGGGAAATCATTTCCCTTCCATTTTCTATTCCTCCCATTTTTCCTCTATACCAAACAAAGGAAAGATTTTCTTTCCCTCCTATTTTTCTTCCTCCATTTTTTATCCTCTCTATTTTCCATCCAACCAAACGGGGGTAAAATGTTTCTCTTTGATAGTTCTCATGGAGTCATGGCCTGTCTTTCTCTGATAGTTGTCCCTCTGTGTTGAATACCAAAGCCCTCTTCTAAGTTCTTAGCTTAACAACTTACCCTTGTTGGCATTGTCTCTCTCTCTCTCTCTCTCTCTCTCTCTCTCTCTCACACACACACACACACACACACAAGCGCACTTCCTAAAACTTTTGTATATAATCAATAAAGCCAAAGAATTATCATGTTCGGTTTTTCTAATTTTATGGTTTGTTGTACTAGTTAGTCTTGCCAACAAATGGTTTGTTATTCATTTAACATGGAAAAATGCTACTTTGACAAAAAAATATTGACAACAATTATTGACTCATAATATCACCGTCATTAATTTAAGTGAGTTCTAACATTTATTGAAATTCACTATTTATTTAATGATTGTGATGGAAGGAGTCAGCAAAATGTGTCATGAATGATAGCCTCCAATATTTCATCCCAATATTAACTTATTTAGTTTCTTTTTTTTAGAAATTTAAGATGGTGTCAATTTAAAATAATTTATGGATTTTCCTATTTTCAATGCTGTTTGTTTAAATTTCCTCTTTGTTTTTTTGTGAAAAAAATGTGTGCTTTATTATTTTAATTACCATTTATTATTGTGTATTAATATTTTTTGTTGGTAAGCTAATATTAATATGTTAATTATTAATGGGGTCTCATACGACCATTTTTGCCTAAGGCACCTAACTACATCCCCCCCCCCCTCTTCTCAAGTAAATGCACGGTTATACCATATCGACCATATCGATTGAGTATCACCAATCAATACTAAAACACCAAATAGGTAATGTAAATCCACTTTGGTAGTTATTTGTTTACATGGAAGAATGATATGTAATTATTTACTTATTTAGAGAGTTGATTATTAATTTTTGTGGNGACCATTTTTGCCTAAGGCACCTAACTACATTCCCCCCCCCCCTCTTCTCAAGTAAATGCACGGTTATACCATATCGACAATATCGATTTAGTATCACCAATCAATACTAAAACACCAAATAGGTAATGTAAATCCACTTTGGTAGTTATTTGTTTACATGGAAGAATGATATGTAATTATTTACTTATTTAGAGAGTTGATTATTAATTTTTGTGGATTCTATTTATTTATTTGTTTTGATACTATTAATTAATTACAAAATTTTTGATACATTAAGAGTTTAATAAGAAAATTTTAATTTTAAAAAATATAAAGTAAAAAACTTAGAAATTTTTTAGGGTATAAAATAAAATTCTCCCTAATATTTTTCTTATTGTATCCAAATTTTGGAAACGATATCACAACACTTNAGTTAATTACAAAATTTTTGATACATTAAGAGTTTAATAAGAAAATTTTAATTTTAAAAAATATAAAGTAAAAAACTTGAAATTTTTTAGGGTATAAAATAAAATTCTCCCTAATATTTTTCTTATTGTATCCAAATTTTGGAAACGATATCACAACACTTTCGTTTGTTCAATATTGGCGGGCGGCTCATTCAAAACAAGTAAAATTAATAAAAAAATTATATTTTGACCCTTTTATTTACGGATTCAGTTTTATTTTATCCCTTACACCTCTTATCCTTACCCTTTTTCAAGCCTACTAAATTTAAATTAAGATAAAAAATTCTTAAAAATCTTCACTAATACTAGACTCAACACAAACACAAACAATCACATAGTTCCAAATAATCACTTTTTTTTTTTGGATGGAAATTACAAATGTATTGGGTCAAAAAAAAAAATCACATAGTTCTAAGAATAAAAATAATTTTTTTTTTTTTTTGTCAATGTGGAAAAGAGTCATAATTAAGAGATTTAAGTAGAATTTGCTTAAATTTCTTCGATGGTTTGAGGAANACAATCACTTTTTTTTTGGATGGAAATTACAAATGTATTGGGTCAAAAAAAAAAATCACATAGTTCTAAGAATAAAAATAATTTTTTTTTTTGTCAATGTGGAAAAGAGTCATAATTAAGAGATTTAAGTAGAATTTGCTTAAATTTCTTCGATGGTTTGAGGAAAGATGTATAACGTGTTTGACGGTATTGACAAAGGCAAAATTCGAGGAAAGTTTACAACAAGCACTGGTCAAGTCTTTTAGAAAATGAAGTCTATTTCGTTACCAAACCACCCCCTTTCTTCCTTCTCTTTCTCTCTCTTACACACACACCAAAAACTGTTACAAAACGAGAGAGGGTGAGAGAGAAGGAGATCCATACCACAATGTCTGACATCGTCAAGGAAGCTTGGAAAAAGTATCTGCTAGCGCTGCAAATTCACCCCCTCAGAACTAAGGTTTCTTTTACACAAAACCCATATGAATTAGTCTGATTATATCCTTTTTTAGGTTTAATGGAGTTATATGTGTAGATATACACAAACCCATATGAATTATTCACATACACTTTGTTTTGTTTAGGCAGTTACCTCTGGGGTTCTGATTGGATGTAGTGACATAATTGCTCAAAAGATCTCTGGGATCAAAAAGCTTCAATTGAGAAGATTACTTCTTTTAATGGTATTAATTTTATTTAATTAAATAATCCATGTATTTTTTCTTTATTTTGGGTGGATTTTATTAGTGTTTGATAAGTTTTTTCTGACCTTATGATCATTTAAATTGCTTTCCAGCTCTTTGGCTTTGCCTATTCGGGACCGTTTGGCCACTTCCTTCACAAATTAATGGACATCATTTTTAAAGGAAAGAAGGGCAACAAAGCTGTTGCAAAGAAGGTAAACTTTGCAATAAATTTTGTATTTTTCAGTTCTTCATGTTTTCAATTGTGTCGCGGAAATAGCCTCTCTACAGCAGGGTAAGGCTGAGTACATCTAACACCCCTTTCGTACGCCCATGTTTGTATTTGTGTCNCGTCATGTTTTTAATTGTGTCGCGGAAATAGCCTCTCTAAAGCAGGGTAAGGCTGAGTACATCTAACACCCCTTTCGTACGCCCATGTTTGTATTTNCTTCATGTTTTCAATTGTGTCGCGGAAATAGCCTCTCTACAGCAGGGTAAGGCTGAGTACATCTAACACCCCTTTCGTACGCCCATGTTTGTATTTGTGTCCTAGGCAGGGCAATTCTTAGCATGATCCACTAACTTGACACATAATCAATACAAAAATATCATTTATGAGTTCAGTCTTAACTAGTTATAGAAGGTTAATTGGCTGGTCCCACTTAATAGATGGATCAACACAAATCTACTCGTACACGAGATGAACCGTTTTATACACAAGTTATACACGATAAGAGCCGGACTATATTATTCTTACTTATACACAGCATGAGCCCAACTACACATGCCTTATTCGCAATATGAGGCCAAATATACAGAGTCGAATATGGATCGAGTCATTTTTTACCCGACACGAAGCACGATCCCTTATAAGCCTAGTATGTGGACACACCCACACACGCATAGTCAATTCAATATGTTCTTCAACTTCCTAACATGGGTTTTTACATTACACAAACTTTTGTAGGACAATTATTGGTGTCTGTAATTTCATTGAGTTAAATAAATTACTTTGTTTATTCTGTTCTAGGTTCTGTTGGAACAATTAACTTCTTCTCCCTGGAACAACTTGTTCTTCATGATGTATTATGGTTTGGTGGTTGAAGGTATGCATATCAATTTACCCATTTGGCAATTTCTTAGGACTTTCAATGACCTAAACTGTCTCTGTAGAGCTTGCATTTGTTGAATCTACATAGGGTTGCGTCATTGTATATTTTATTTAACACCTTTTTTAGTTGAACATACCTTGTAGGGACATAGGATTTGGCTTTTCTCAATGTCTCATCCTAGAGCCTTTCTAGGTAGACGGACGGCTTTTCTGTTGTTGGAGCAGTTGATTCTTTTTTCTTTCTTCCTTTTGTTTCGTACGTTTTTTTATTTTTTAAAATCTACCATCACTGCTCATAACCCGAAAAAAATTGAAGAAACATGGACCGATGTTATACTTTCTTGGGAGCTGTTATGTGGATTCATATCCTTGCTTAACAGGGGTGGCAGAGTCTGTAATTTAGGGGGTTTTCTCTGGGACCAACTCCCATTTAATGCAAAGTCCCCCCNCCGAAAAAAATTGAAGAAACATGGACCGATGTTATACTTTCTTGGGAGCTGTTATGTGATTCATATCCTTGCTTAACAGGGGTGGCAGAGTCTGTAATTTAGGGGGTTTTCTCTGGGACCAACTCCCATTTAATGCAAAGTCCCCCCCCCAAAAAAAATAAAAAATAAAAAATAAAAAATAAAAAATCCAATCACCCTGGATGATGGCCTTTACCTTCCAATTGCAGAANCAAAAAAATAAAAAATAAAAAATAAAAAATAAAAAAATAAAAAATCCAATCACCCTGGATGATGGCCTTTACCTTCCAATTGCAGAAGAAAGTGTGCCCTGTTTTCTTCTTCTAAATCTCTCTGCATTTGGGAGCACCTGACTTCTGATTTTGTGTTTGCCATTTGCATAACTACCAGCCAAAAAGTCAGTCAAGATGTGATCTCGATTTGCAAGTGCTGGAAGAAGCATGTGTTTTTTTTTTTGTTTGCGGTTCTACTAGAGAGTTCATATATAATACTTTTGTTTCCTTGTACTTTGTCACACAAGTATTTTTTCACAAATTGCGTTTCATTTTTGTCATATGTTCATTAGGCATACAGATCCCCCGTTGCCATTTTCTTGTCTGATGATCTGGCAAATCCCTCCTTTCAAAAAAAGAAGAAAACAAAGGATCTGTCATTACCTGATAGATTCTATTGTTGTTTGAAAAATGCTTATGCCAAAAAATGTTGCGGAGAGTAAGCAATTTTTTTATTGGAAAATGCATTTTTTGTTTTACACGGTCAATTTTATCAGTTATGAATGGTGGCTAGCTTCCAAAAGAAAGAATCATGGCTAACCTCTGGCTTTGCAGGAAGACCGTGGGGTTTAGTCAAGAATAAAGTCCGAAAAGACTACCCCTCTATACAGTTGACTGCATGGAAGGTATGTCGTTATTCTCTATTTTCAGTTATATTTTCATGTCGTGATGCAAAATGACAGTAGTAAGCAAAACATGCTACTATTGTTTTTGCAGTTTTGGCCCATAGTTGGATGGATCAACTACCAGTATATGCCTTTACAGTTTCGTGTCTTATTCCACAGTCTTGCTGCTTCATGCTGGTGTGCACTCTTTATCCTTTATCTTTGTTCTCTAGCTTCTGCCTTTCATTTTTTTGCTAGTGGCTTCTACCTTCAATTTCCGTTACTGTCATTCTTTCTAAATGCTTAATCTTGTATTCAACATTTATAGTGGAGTAAGGGTTAAAGCTACGGTTACGAGTATAAGATAGTGGTTTATTATAGTTAGTGTTGTCAAAGCTAAGCTCTTGTGTGACTAGGCATTACAAATGCGTGATCCTGTTACCAAGGCGCTTTGCTAAGTAATGTTGATGTAGATCATTTGATTTGATATGGTTCCCAACTTCAACGAATAGTATAATACTGGAAACTTCTGGAAAAGATGAGTACTTAGTTACAGAAATGTCATTGGACATTCTCTAGTTTGTGAACTATTTTGACTTTCAAACCTCTATCCTACTGCCATGTCAAAGAAAGTAAGGAACTCATTCTTTATATGCTATTCTAAGGTACATTCCTTCTCAATCAATTCCAATATACTCCCTCCGTTCCTAAATATCTGTCGTTTTACACAATTTTTTTTGTTCCATAATATCTGTTGTTTTATGAAACCAAAGTATAATAAATATTTTTTCTTTCAAATTTACCCTTACCTCTGTTTTTCAATAAGTGCTTAATAGATTAAGTATAGGTTAAGTGTCTTTCATATTCCTTTCCTTCCTAATACGTATTGATTAAGGGTATTTTAGTCTCGTGTAATTATTTTTTACTCATATTAGAGCTATTTANTTATGAAACCAAAGTATAATAAATATTTTTTCTTTCAAATTTACCCTTACCTCTGCTTTTCAATAAGTGGTTAATAGATTAAGTATAAGTTAAGTGTCTTTCATATTTTTTTCCTTCCCAATACGTATTGATTAAGGGTATTTTAGTCTCGTGTAATTATTTTTTACTCATATTAGAGCTATTTAATAACTTCCTTCATCCCTGTGCAAACGACAGATATTTAAGAACGGAGGGAGTAGCATAAATCTAGGAATCAGAGTTACGCATGCATCTAACTAGGGGATATTCCCTGAGTGCACTCGTAAGTGTCGGGTTAGCAATAGTGNTTTGTGCAAACGACAGATATTTAGGAACGGAGGGAGTAGCATAAATCTAGGAATCAGAGTTACGCATGCATCTAACTAGGGGATATTCCCTGAGTGCACTCGTAAGTGTCGGGTTAGCAATAGTGAGGTAAAGGGTTCGACTCTGCGGGCAGCTAGTTGTGCAAATGATGTAAGCAATTAGGTTTTCACTAAGCCCTTAGACAAAGAGGTAGGACTATATGTTGTCTTTTTCTCAACAATCAACATGCCTCCTTTGAATTTTTCCCACCTTCCTTGTATTTTTTCATGATTTTTACTCATTTATTTCTATTTTTTGGAATTTTGTTTTAAATGAAGATATTGTTTGATAATTCTTCCCAAGTATTTTGTAATTTTTCTTGTTTTTTAATTAATTTTTAATTGGGATTTGTATTGAAGTACTTGTGCGGGTTTACTCCATTCTTCCAAACTTGATCGCATGTATAGTAGTACACTTGTTCACATATATAACAAAATTATTTATTTACTCATGCAGATGGGTCACTTTTGCAAAACATTCATTTGTTTTTTTGACAAACTAGCTTTTCATTTTAAGAAAAAGTACTTCAAAAACCAAATGGTGCATGAGGTTTAACTGTAGAGTTTGTCTGTCTAAATACTCTAAACATTCAGAAGACCATAAAAAAAAAACAGTTGTTAACAAGAAACCTATATGATGTGGAGTGATCATCTTCCTCGTGATTTCCAAGGATTTCAATTGGGCTCATTGCATGGATGCTTGTTTTCTTTTGGTTTTCTTTTCCTTTCTGGTATGTTTCTGCTGAACTCTGTTAATCTAAAGATATTCACACATCAACTTGCATGGTTTCAACTCCGTTCCAATATTCTGATAAAAAAAAAAAACTCTGTTCCAATACACTCAGACAAACACTCTTTTGTAAATATACGAGACTTGTGCATAATCCTATTAGATTTTATATATAATAAATACATAAAAGTACCCTTCATTGGATGCATGGTTTGATATATAAGAGTAAATGAGCAGTCAACCTTGAAAAAGAATCACCTTAAAGATCCTCCAGGCTGTACCTAGGTTGAGTTTACCAACATAACGTTGAAGAATTGGTTTGTCTATTTATACCTTATATGTGCATTAGGACTCTAGAATCAAAATTTCTTTTTCGAAATGCCATTTTAGAAAAGAAAGCNCTAGGCTGTACCTAGGTTGAGTTTACCAACATAACGTTGAAGAATTGGTTTGTCTATTTATAACTTATATGTGCATTAGGACTCTAGAATCAAAATTTCTTTTTCGAAATGCCATTTTAGAAAAGAAAGCAAGTGTTTGAGTTACTCAAGTACGGTCCTAATTCACAGGGATGCGATACTCTCAATTCTTTGTAACGCTAAAAATTGCGTTATGTAGGATGTTTATTTCTTGAACTCGTTTATTTAGTTGGAAATGCATGCGAATATCCTATAGCTGAATTATCGGTTGTTACTAATATACTCTCTCTTTGTTTTTTGACTTCAGGGCAATCTTTATCAATTTGAAAGCAAGATCCATTGCAACTAAGAAGGCTTAGAAAGGAGGAGACCATGTTTTTTTTTTCACTTCTTTTTTTTGTCTTGGTTCGACCTTATTTATCAAGATCAGTCTGCATCTTTCGGTAGTTATATATTTCTGCCTGTAGTATGCAAAATTATCAATGTTTCNTTTTCACTTCTTTTTTTTTCCTTGGTTCGACCTTATTTATCAAGATCAGTCTGCATCTTTCGGTAGTTATATATTTNTCACTTCTTTTTTTTGTCTTGGTTCGACCTTATTTATCAAGATCAGTCTGCATCTTTCGGTAGTTATATATTTCTGCCTGTAGTATGCAAAATTATCAATGTTTCATATGTATCGTCGGTCAAATTTAATCGAATTTATACTTGTGGAGTGGTTTATCCTAGAAATCCTGATTGGCTGATCTTATGTACAGAACTTTAGGCCCTCTATTTTCATTTGTTCCATTTGCAGGGAAATTTTGGGTTGAAGAAGCTTGAAAACTCTAATGGCTTGCTAAAAATATGGACTGGGTATAAAACCCAACCATGGAGGTTTGTTGCTCAAAATGGTTGCCTTTAGAGTCGAATCTATAGCTTCGCAGTTGTACGAGGCAAACCCGTGGATAAAGATACTCTGCAATACTCAAAGTTGTTATTGATTGTGTAACTGTTATATTTGAAATAGTATTTTTTTTCTTTTAGTAGGTAATTTAAAATTAAAGTGGACATAGAAAAAATAAAAGAGAGATAAGACTAGAGAAGAGTGAGGTAAGTGTAGATTAATAGAGTTGGGAAAATGAGTTTTGCTCCTCTAGGAGCTAGGTGCTCCTGTAGTTCACGAGAAGAAAAAAGGACTCATCCTTTGTTGCATCCAACACGAGATGATACAGAGAGAGTTTTGTCTATCGATGAACAGAGGATTGATAGAGTTTTTGGCATTGCGTTATTTTGCTCTTTTTTCTTATTAGCGAGTTCCTACCTTTTTATTTGAAATTTTTTCATTCGTACCGAATTACTTGCAGAATCAAATTCTGTTTCACAAGATCTTAGATCAGCTATACATCTAACATTGAGAAGTCTATTGATTGTACTTTCATAAACTGGGAATTCAAACTCTTTGCTGTAATAGTTTGAATGCGAAAAAAAATCTTATTCAGGTCACGGAGAATTTATATACTTCATGGGCTTTAAGAGTAGTACAAGATTGTCACTTTGGTGAAAAAGTCATCAATTTTGACATCTGAAATATATAGAAAGGAAAAAATAAAACAATTTTAAAACTCCAAGAGTTATATTGACACATTTAAAGTACAAGAGAAATTCGTTAATGATTATTTATGTTTTGAAATTGAATTATATACAGACGACCTGCAAATTCTTTAATTTATGAGATCCAATTAAAAATTTGTAAATCACTTGTTTATGACACATCCATAAATAATTTAATCTCTTAAATTTTTTGACGTATTATGTGTGTTGTGACTTTATGCATTATTATCAAAAAAATAATAATAATTCAATTGTGACACCCCAAAATTCAGGTGTCCGTAATTATCTCGTTGATCACCCATCAATCTGCAGAATACTCCTGGTTATCGTGAATTTGATACCATGTTGTTATGCCCCATTTATCAGGATACATAAGTCAACAAAATTTGAGCGAAATCTTTTTTATACGAGGAGTTATACCCAAAATGCAACCTGTACAACATTCACCACACCGGGTCTATTCATTTATACTCAATTGTATAGTATCAGATACTACCATAATCATCATCATTACGTATATTCATTCATAAAAGAATAAATGTCTCAAAAGAATCTCATATACATGCTTTTTTAATATAAAAGAAGTTTTTGTTTACAAAAATTATATAAGGCCAAAAGTAAACATATACAAGAGACTGCAAAGTCAAAATAAGAGTCACGGATCAACTTTTTCGTCAAAGCGGGATCATGGCCTCGCCTTTGGTGGATGCCTGCACGATATCTAAAAAATGTTCCCATAAAGGGTGAATCAATGCTCAATAGAGGAACTCCTATAGAAAATACCTCTCAACTCAAATACATTTGAAATGTCACATTCAACAATTATTTCATGATTTCATTCAAATATGTCAATTACGAACAAATGTCATAAATCATATCGTGTCATGAGATGAGACTCACNACACTAATCAAAACCTAACATGTGATATACACCCTTGGCCTACCCGTTTCATATGTCATATTTTAGGTTGAAATTACATCTAAATAGGACAAACCCTACTTTCTCGTAACGTGAGCCAACGTACTAGAACTCCAAGGAAGTCCAATTTTAGCTTCCCAAGCCTTAGGCCTAAATTATCGTTTTTGATATTTTTTTTGGAGAAAAATACACTATTTGATGTGGTTGCG